CTCACTAGTAATCTGTGACCTCAGAGCACACTACAACCTAACCCCTTTACCATTAAATCCACAAGCAATTTTAGCCAGGGTTAAGTACACTCAGAATCTGGAGGGGTGAAAGGCTATAATACAGGTTTGGTCCAAGCGCTTGCATTAATGCTTTGATGTTCAGTGAGTGGCTAACACAGAGATTAATGAGGAATTAAGCAACTCAGGCACTCTAATATATTCAAGAATCTTTTTGAAGTTTCAGTTTCTTCATGTCACATAAAGCCCAAGTAATTTGCAACTGTTTATGGCCAAGTGCAGGCTTTGCTGCATGTCATTAATGGATAGTTTTATTAGAGCAAACTTACTACATGTATTTGGCAGTCCCTATGTCTTAAAAATGAGTGAATGAATAATGCCAATCTGTGAGTATAAACACATTTATTTGAGGTATTTTTAGACCAGCGTTTTAAAATGTTGAAGGTGGAGCTTCAAAAGGTGCTTCAATTTTCTAAGATTATGGAAATTGCTTAATTGTAAGATGCTGGTCATTTCTACAGGTCCCCCAAACATTTGTCATGACTGTTGTGTACCATTGACTCATTTATTTCCATTCTTTAATGTGGGTACTTCATTCAATTTTGCCCCCACTTTGCACAACAGAAAGTGCTTCCCTTTTTTATTCTCAGTCACATTGACACTATACTAATACTGCATCTTAAAAAAATAAAACTTTATAGAGGGCTTTCTCTCCATCAGATCTTTTATTTTTTACCTAGTTACAGTATATAGTATATCCCACTAGATCCTTCCTCCACTGGGCAGCTCTCTAATTAAGTGGCTGCTTTTGGGGCCTCGTGGCTGCCTAATTTGCCTAATAAGGCAGCCACTACTGCCTGATTCTGTGTGGCCCAGCTTGCCTCAGCCTACCAGGCGAGTGCCTGGCATGCCTGATTGGCAGTCCAGCCCTGTCTGCCTCACTGGTTTGGAGGCAGTATTTTTTGCATAGTATTACCAGTGATGAGCTGTGTGAGCACTTCAGTGTTTTGGGCAAGCGTGAATCGAACTGGAGCGACACTGTGGTTTATTGATATTTATATTGCATTTATTATTGAAAAATAGAAAAGGATAGTGTTACATATAAAGTAGAAATATTCAGTTGGAACCCAAGCCAAAAATGTTTTTTGGATAAGGGAAAATTTTGAAATTCTGTCAGGTTTGTATTGTTGTCTCTATTCCCAATGGGGAACAGTTCATAACTTTTTTTTTACTTTATTAAATTAAAAAGAAACATTTTTGACTTCAGTCCTATGTTAACCCTATTACTGCTGTTATAACTACAACAGCACACCAGTATAGCAGGATGTAAACAAGCTCATAGATTTGTAGCAGAAGTGCTCAGGGTGATTGCACAGTTAATTACTTTCACGGGTCAGAATTGTGACCAATCTCCTTGGGTTGAGTGCAGAGGAAGCATAAGGGGTCATCTAGGGCCATCATTTATGGATAACTCGATATTGATGAGAAAAAGGATTTTTACAGCATTGTCTACTGACAATTTTGGGCATAGTAGTTTTTTTGCTGTTACATGGCCACACACAATTTAACATATTTGGTATTTATTACATTGACTGAATC